TGTTCAACTAATGAAGTTACACTCTCAGACACATAAATTATACTTCCATTTGTCATAATTGCTAAAAAAAAAGCGCACAATCAAGAGCCTCTAACATTAATTGTGTAAACTCTTCGTTACTAAGGAATGTAGGTTTCCAGTCGCGTCGAATTTCACTAGCATCTGACAGTGCAGTTTATGTGTTCATCAAAAATCAGTGCTCTTGGGAACCAGCAGTTAGCGTAATGGCTATGTCGCTGGACTCCCACGTAGTCGACCGCGGTTCGTGTCCCGGACCCGGTGGCTTAAAACTCACGCCGGGCGCGTGTGCGTGCGTGCCCAAGATCCTGAGAGGAGAATGGAGGAGAAGGGATTGTGGCGTGACCATCCCCCCTGGGGGGTGATTTCTCGCTTTCTGTCTCTGTGTCTCTCTCTGTCTGTCTGGCGAGCGCACGTGCCCTACAGTGAAAATCTCTCAAAAAAAAAAAAAATCAGCGCTCTTCTGCAGAACAGTGGATTCGTCCCTCCCTCTAGCATTCCCAGGAAGCACGGACCTCAGTTCTTTCGGCTTTGTTCTTACCATCTTCTTGCACCAACCATCAGAAGCACGGCTGTCACCTGTGTCAACCACCGAGCCCATTTTCCTGCAGCTGACGGTAAACGACCTCACACACCATGTTTTCGCCCTGTGGTAGACCTTGGTACCTTTCTCCTTTTCTACTTTTTGCATCTTGTGAACTGATTCTTCAGAAACCTTTAAAGTAAGCTTCTATATGCCTATCAGTCTCAAAATGCCCTGGGAGTGTACAATCACTACCAGAGGGCATGAAGGAGGCTCCCGAGTTGATGGAAAGGTCCTCTATCTTGCGCTCTGGACATCGGCTAAATGAGTGCTGGCTTCATAGAAGTTCATCAAATGATACTCAGGATTTGGGCGCCACTTCCAAAGATTCAGCTAACAGCACTGCAGAGTTTCCAGAGGCATCTGGGGCCAACGGGTGGCGTGGTGGTTAAGGGCGCTGGACTCCCATATGACCAACCGCAGTTCGAGTCCTGGACCCGGTGGCTTGTTTCCCGCTCTCTCCGAAGGCATCTTACAGTGTGGCAGAATCAGCTTATTCGGGCACTTTTAATCTCGGGGATAGGCGTAATAGTCAAAGCAGCCATGGCTGTAAGTTTCTTTACTCCCTGTGCTGTTCTTCAGGGGACTGTGCGTGTGTGGCATCCAGATGCCCTTCGCGCTCCCACTCTCTGGGGTTTCCTCTTGAGTGCCCGCTTCGGCAGCACATATACTAAAGTCGGGGTTTCCTCTTGGTATCCTCGAGCCAGAGTCCTCAGTATTTCATGGAAGAGATTTTCCACGCCTTTAGCAGATTCTTCACCTTCTGGAATACCCATTTCATAAATATCTGGGCATTTCATGGTACCTAGAATTTCCTGTATGTTGTCTTCATTTAAAAAATTTTTTTTCAATTATTATTTTTTTGGGGAGGCTTTTGCTATAGAGCGCGTGTGCTTGCCAGAAAGATAGAGAGAGAGAGACAGACAGAAAGCAAGAAATCACCCCCCAGGGAGGATGGCCACACCACAATCCCTTCTCCTCCATTCTCCTCTCGGGATCTTGGGCACACACGCACACGTGCCCGGTGTGAGTTTAAGCCACCGGGTCCAGGACTTGAACCACAGTTGACTGCATGGGAGTCCAGCGACATTGCCAACTGCTAGTCCCGATCCTCTTTTTTTTTTTTCCCAGGTTGTTTTTTTATTTTTTTTGGTGATTTAGTCTGTATTGGAGACTTTGTCTTCAAGGTCAGAAGTCCTTTCTTCTGCAGGGCCGGCAGGTGGTGTGGTGGTTAAGAGCCCGGGATTTCCACATGGCAGACCACTGTTTGAGTTCCCCACCTGGCGGCTTTGTTTTCTCACTTTTTCTCTCTTTATCCCTCTCTGGTCAAATTAAAAATGAATACATAAGTAAAGTTAAAAAACAAAAAAGTGTTTTCTTCTGCACGGTTTACTCTGCTGTTAATGCTGTCTGGAGAAATTTTAATTTCTTGTACTCTTCATTTCTAGAAGTTCTGTTTGATTCTTTTTCAGGGTGTCTACTTCTTTATGAAATTTCTTTCATGTCCTGAAATGATTTTCTGATTTCCGTATCTCACTGAGTTTTGCCACTCTGAGTATTTTCAATTCTTCCTCTGTACTGTCCATTGTGGGTGAGGGGCTACTGCGCTCGCCTGGGGGAGACGGAATTCTTCCTCTGTGCTGTCCATTGCTGGTGAGGGGCTACTGCGCTCGCCTGGGGGAGAGTTACCCCTTGTTTCCTTGTGTTTGAGATCTGTGCTGGCTTTGGGTCATCGGGTGCAGTGTTCACTTTTTCCTGTTTGCTGGAGTAGGTTCTGCAGTGCTCGCAGAGGGAGTCTCGTTCTCAGTTCGCAGGCGTGTTCCTATTGGAGGGCTGTGTCTCCCAGCTCGGAGCAGTTACAGGGAACTTCAGGTGCTCGGCTCCTCCACAAACACTCAGCTATTGAGGAAGTGGTGGCAGGCTGAGGAGATAGAACCTAGTGAAGAGGATCCAGCAGCACTAGCACGCAGCAGGTGGGGCTGATGTACCAATTCCAAAGTTCCTCCCAGGCCCTGAGGGTGGACTCATGACAGGAGGCCTGCAGAGGTCAGGCCCAGGTCTCCTGGTAGGCGGGCCAACCCAGGCCACGGCAAGGGAGTGGCAAAAGTTCCAGTTCCTCCCAGGCCCTGAGGGTGGACTCCCCAATTGAACATTCTTGGCATCTCATCTGGGCATTGTACTTCCTTTCCACAGGCAGGAAAATTGGAGCTATCCACTCCCCCAGAGGTTGCCCCAACTATTTCACGAACATTCTTCTTGGGAGGAAAGTGCTGTTTCCTCACCTCATTTGTCACAGGAAACAAGCGGACCTCCCCACCCTGGACCTGGGACAGGCTTCCCGTATGCATTTTACATATGTGTTCCCTGGTTCCTGGAGGACAGTATTCTACCCCGTCTTAGAAACATTAAACAGAGAGACCAGCAGTTAGCATAAGGGCTATGTCGCTGGACTCCCACGTTGTCGACCGCGGTTTGAGTCCCGGACCCGGTGGCTTAAACTCACGCCAGGCGCGTGTGCGTGCGTGCCCAAGATCCCGAGAGGAGAATGGAGGAGAAGGGACTGTGGTGTGGCCATCCCCCCAGGGAGTGATTTCCTACTTTCTGTCTCTGTCTTTCTGGCGAGCACACGCGCCCTATAGCAAAAACCTCTCCAAAAAATGGGAAAAAAAATTAAACAGAGGAGTTTGTTTGTTTAATTTTATTTATTATTTATTTATTTATTTATTATTGGATGGTGTGCTGGTTAAGGGCACTGGACTCCCACATGGCCGACTGCAGTTCGAGTCCCAGACCTGCTGGCTGGCTTTCTCACTTCCTACCTCTTTCTCTCAGTCCCTATCTGGCCAAATTAAAATAAATAATTGTTAAAAAAAAATTTATTTATTATTTTTTGAGAGATTTTTGCTATCAAGCGTGTGTGTTCCACAAAAAGACAGAGAGACAGAAAGTGAGAAATCACCTCCAGGGGGGATGGTCACGCCGCAATCCCTTCTCCATTCTCCTCTCGGGATCTTGGGCACGCACGCACACACGCCTGGTGTGAGTTTAAGACACTGGGTCCAGGACTTGAACTGCGGTCGACTACTTGGGAGCCCAGCAATATAGCCGTTACACCAGCTGCTGGTCCCTATCTGTTATTTATTTTTAAGTTTTGTATAGAGCACATGTGCTCTCCACAGAGGAGAGAGGGAAAGTGAGAAAGTAAGCCACCAAGTCCAGGACTTGAACCACAGCCTGCTACGTAGGAGTCTAACACTCCAACCACTACAGCATCTGCTGGCCCCCAGAGCAGGTTTTAAAATATTTTATGAAGTGCCAGGCATGGTGGTTTGTGTCTATAATCCCAGCTACTTAGGAAGCCAAGGTAGGAGGGTCGTGAGTTTGAGGCTGGACTCCTACACGCCTGACCATGGTTCCAGTCCTGGACCTGGCGGCTTGACAATCACACTAGACACACGTGTGCATGTGCCCAGAATCCCAGAAGAATGAAGGAGGAAGGACTGTGGCAAGGCCATCTCCCTGGGATGAGTTCTCACTCTCCCTCCCTCTTTCTCATTGTGTCTCTTCAGTGAGTGCCCACACCCTATGACAAAATGTAAAAAATGACCAAAAACTGCCCATGATCTGGGGCTGGCTGAGGCTGAAGCTGAGGTTGAGGGTGGATGGTGGTGTGCAGACCCTGCTGGGGGGTGCTGCTTCTCTCTCTTGCTCGTAGAAGAAAAACGAAGTAAGAAAACAAAACAAAAACACTTTATGGAGGGACCAGCAGGTGGCCTGGTGGTTACGGTGCTGGACTCCCACATGGCTGACCATGGTTTGAGTCCCAGACAGGGCAGCTTGCTTTCTTCCTTTCTCTCTCTCTGGTCAAATTAAAATAAATGAATAAAAGTAAATAAATAATAATAAAATAAAAAGAAAACACTTCATGGAGCTTCCCTCTTCTATTCGTTATTAGACCTATAAAGATCAATCTATCTTTCTGCAATAAGGAGTACCAGGGACCAGCAGTTGGCGTAATGGCTGTGTCACTGGACTCCCATATAGCCGACTGTGGTTTGAGTCTCGGACCTGGTGGCTTAAACTCACATAGGGTGTGTCTACATACATGCCCAAAATCCCAAAAGGAGAATGGAGGAGAAGGGATTGCGACTGAGGCGTGGCTATTCCCCCGGGGTGTGATTTCTCAAGTTCTCTCTGTCTTTCCAGTGAATGCATATGCCTTATAGCAAAAAATCTCTCTTAAAGAAGAAGAAGTATCAACCATCAACCGGAAGGGAGTATTTGATTTGTGAAAGCCAGACTCTGCAGTGAGCAGCAGCCTCTCCCCAGACTCAGCCCCAGACTCAGCGCACTTGAGGAAAACCGACCCGAAGATGTGCATGGACGGAAACACGGACTCTACACGTCTTCATCCTCTTTCATTAAAAACTTTAAATTACAAACATTTTGATTCATAAATAGTCAAGGGGGTGGTGTACTTAGCTTTTGCCCCTGAAACCAAATATCCTGTCCTCCAGGGACTTTTCACCAACCCTCTTGCAGCGTCTTCCTCCACACCCAAGGAGGAAGCTCAGCTTTCCCCATTCCCTGAGTTCGCGTGGATTCAATCCTCCAGGCCCACCTAGCCCTGCCCGAGAGAGGACCAATCGCTGTCCTTCCAGGGCTGGAAGGGAAGGGCGCCACACCCAGCCATGTGGAAAAGAAGTGCTCCCAGGTGAGGGCAGGGCTTCCTGTGTGGAGAGGAAGCCAGGCGTTCAGTCCTAACGGAGTAACTTCCCTGTCGAGAAGCCGATTTTGTAAAATGCTAGTGTCTCGGGCCTCTGCAGGCGGAGTCCAGGGCCTCCTGCCCCTGCGGCAGGCACTGCTCAGAGTGACCCGTAGACGCTGACCTTGACCATGGAGATGCTCTCTGTGCAGTAGTTCCGGCCCTTCTCATACAGCACATAGAGCTGCGGGCCCTGCTCCCCTCCCTCCATGCCCTCCAGGGCTGCCAGGGACGAGTAGCCACTGGGCCCTGGCCACAGCTGGACCGTCTCCTTCTGCCACGAAGTGCCATTGCTGAAGCTCCAGCGCAGGGTCAGGTTCACTCCTGGGGAGAGCAGCAGGGTCAGGGAAGGGAGGGTCTCTGCCCAGCCCTTGTCCAGGCCCAGGGGCTCCGCCCTGCCGACACCCCCAGCACTCACGGAACTCTGGATGGGCTGGGTTAGAGAAGAAAACGATGCCGGAGCTGGTGGCTATGGCTCCCGCGGCGACCACGGGGTCCACGAGCTCGGGGTCGAAGGTCACGTCGCGGGGCCGCAGGGTATCACAGGCGTCGTAGCTGCGGAGGACGATCCGGCAGTGGCAGTGGTAGTTGTTCTGGTTCCGGGCGTTGATAGCAACTGAGCCATCTGGGAGCTCGTAGGGCTGAGGGGACACAACGGGGGCTCAGGGGGGAGCAGGGCAGCCGGCCCTCGGGCCTGCAGGTGAGATCGTGCTCTGGGAGACGGGGCAGGCGGGGGCTTCCACGGACGCTGACCTGGCATTCGTCAGGGTTGAAATCGTTTTCCCGCTTGGGCTGGCCAAAGGGGATGCCGCTGACCCCACTCCCATAGCGCCAGGAGGCACCGTGGTCATCGCTGAGGAGACAGTACACCCCGTCCCTCTCCAGCGTCCCATGGCCACACACGATGAGCCGGCCCTTCCGTGGCTCCCGCTGTTTCTGTGGGAAGGAGCTGGGTGTCACAGAAGGTCATGCTGTGGTGACAGGAGCCCTCCACCTCCCGGTGTCAGGGCACACCAGGTGCCCATCGGCTCTGCCCTGGCCCACTGCGGGTCCCAGAAGGACCCCACAGACACGCACTGCCTGGGTTAAGAAGCTCATTTTCAGAACAAGCTCCTCAGGACGCCCAGGGTACACGGTCGGTCATGCACCTGGGACGAGAGGGAGCCGCAGGGGTGCTTTTTTTCACTCTGCATGAAGGCACCACACATACCAGCACAGCCCCGTGACCCCTGCGTGGGAACCAGGGGCCACGTTCCAGCTTCCCCAGGTAGGGAGCTCCTACCAGGATATCCCTCCCTCCCAGGGTCCCACCCAAGCCAGAAAATCTGACTTCACAAGGTACTTCCCTTGGGAGGGACTTCCTACACGCAGCCAGCTCCCTTGTCCCACCTGCCAGGACAGAGACCTGAATGCCGGAGCCCGGACCAGGGGCAAACATCTCGGTGCCGATATCCAGGGAGAGGTTCCGGGGTGGGCTCCAGGAGACGCCATCGTCCTTGCTCCACACCAGCATGGTGGAGGCCACCTGGCAGCCGGCCTTGTGAGCGCAGAGGGTGTAGAACAGGAATACTACCCCCGTCTCCACATCGCACACCACTGCCCCCAGGTTCAGCCCGTCTGGGGTCTCCCCGTCATCTACAATGAACGCGGTGGGGGACCACGTGCTGCCTGGGAAAGAAAAAAGGCAAGAAACACAGTGAGCACTGTGGAGGGAGGCTTTCTCCCTAGAGACGCACGGCCTGGCAAGGGTCCCCGGGCTGCAGAGGGCCTGCCCCTACCTCTCCCACCTCATCTACTGCCCTCCCCCAGCTCACCACACCCGGCCACACAGGCTCCTTCTCAGTCCTCAAATCCTTCCTCCCTGGAGGCTCTGCACAGGTTTGTTACCGCCGCCTGGCGGACCCTTCCTCCACCGCCTACTCCTGCACCTCTTTCTAGTCTCTGCTTGAATATCACCTGGTATTTAAAACTGCAGTTTAGGGGCCGACAGGTGGTGTGGTGGTTAAAGGCACTGGATTCCCACATGGCTGACTGCAGTTCAAGTCTTTGATCTGGTGGCATGCTTTCTCACTTCTCTCTCTCTGCCTCTCACTCTCTTGCTCTGTCCTTCTCTGGTCAAATTAAAATAAATAATAAACAAATAATTTTTTGAGAAGTTTTGCTATGGGATGCATGCGCTCGCCCGAAAGACAGAGAGAGACAGGGAGACAGTAAAGGAGAACTAACCCCCCCAGGGAGGATGGCCATGCCGCAATCCCTTCCCCTCCATTTTCCTCTCGGGATCTTGGGCATGCACACACACGCACCCAGTGTGAGTTTAAGCCACCGGGTCCGGGAATTGAACCGCGGCTGACTACATGGGAGTCCAGAGACATAGCCACTACGTTAACTGCTGGTCCCAATAAAAAAATAAAATCAATACTGCACTCCCCAGACCTCTCACCCCATATTTTTTTTCCCCACTGCATTTATTTATTTGCCAAAAGTCTTGTATACTTACAGGGGTTGGGGTGGGGGCAGGAACGAGGGGAAAGAAAGCAAGTGAGAAAGCACCCCTACCTCCATGGGGAATGGTCATGTTGCAATCCCTCCTCCATCTCTCCCACCTTTTGGGATTTGGGGCATGCACACACATGTGCCCCGTGTGTTTTTCTTTCTCTTTGTTTAAAAAATATATATGTATTTAACTTTTTTTATTTACTTATTTTTTAATCTGACCACAGAGGGAAAAAGAAAGAGAGAGGGACAGTGAGAAAGCAAGCCATCAGGTCTGGGACTTGAAAGGAGTCTAGCACCCCCCACCCACCACCATGCCACCTGCCAGCCGCAGCTCAGCGTGTTTTTCAATCCACTCAGTCTGGGACTTGAATGGCATATTCGACCATGTGGGATCCAGCCACCTCCATCATGCCACAGGCTGGCTGTCGTAGCATTTATTAACCTCCCAACTAAAAACATGAATTTAGTTTGTTATGCTTATTGTCCGTCTTCCCCTAATTCAATAGGATGCAATCCCTGCGAGAGCCCGGCTTTCGGGTGTGCTCTGCTCCTGGCTGTACTCACAGAATTAGAAGGGGCCTGGTAAACAGCAGGTGCTCACTGAATCAATGTCCGACTCCTTGGTGATCCCAACTTCCAGTGCCCTGGGCACGTCCCCTCCTTAGGTTCCCTCACCCCTCAAGAACCCAGGCCTCCAGCCCTGCACTTTTTATCCTTGGGTCCTTGCCCTGGTCGGGATCCCCACCCATCCGCCCTCGCAGGGGCTTTATTGGACGCAGGCATCTGTATACCCTGATCCAGGGACCTCCGCAGGGCAATGAATTTGGCTCCTTCATCCGATGCAGACATCTTTCTGGCCTCCGCGAAGGCGAGGAGGGTGCCCCGAGGAGTGGCTGTGATGAGCGGGATGCGGAAGGTGTCCACGGCGCCGATCTGCCTCCCGCTCACCCACAACAGCTGCTCCATGGTCCCCCGCGCCTCCCCCTGCCACGGGAGGAGGAAGGGTCAAGGCTGACACCTGGCCTGGGGTTCGCGGCAGGGGCAGCGCGCCGAACTCAGGTTCCGACGGCAGAGGGCAGGTACTCCATTTGGGAAATGGAATAGAAGCAGGTGTCAGTTATCAATTTATTGCCTCTCAGTTCCGGATCCCCTGTTCATTGCACTGGTTTGCGGTAGTGAGCTGGACCCTGAAACATTTTTCCTTTGCCAGCTGGCAGAATGTTTTGTCAGTAGAAGGTGTTGGCACGGCTCGGAGGGGGCGACTCACCAGACTGAAGTCGTCCTGAGCCCCAGCCCCGAATCCCGCCAGACACAACAGCAGCGGGAAGACCGCGGCCAACACCGGAACCCTACGGCCTGCCCCGAAGCCCAGCGCCCGCAGTCTCCAGGCTGTGCCCCGGGACGCAGTGCCCGGCAGCGACGTGTCCAGTCGCTTCCCTGTCATCTTCCCCGCAGCGGCCGAGACACGGGCGGAGAAGCTGGACGCGGCCGTCAGCTGACCCGAGCTCCCGCCCTTTAAACCCCAGACACTACCTGCCCCGCTCCGCCCCGCCCCCGGCAGCGTCTCCGCGACGCTGATTGGTCCTCAAACGTCCCGCCCTCTCATCACGTGGACTTGCAGCGCTTCTGAGCTGCGCCTTGCAATTGGCTTTCTTTGAGGTCCTGCAGTGCGTGGCCAGGGAAGGACGCTTATTGGCTAGGGTAAACGGGCCGGCGTCACCTTTTGATTGGCTGTTGGCCCAGGAGCGTTGTGGGGTGGAGCCAACTATAAAGTGACCGGCGCGGGGTGGGGGGAAGCCAACTGGTTATCGTTGAAGAAGTAAAGGTCACAGAGTTACTGAGAAAAGAAAATATCACTCTTTTAATAAAATCTCTTTGCTACAAAATCGAGATCTGTATGGCGAAACGAGGCTGTACAGGCGGGCTGCAGTCCTGGGTCTGGGTCGGGTCCCTCACTTCTTCCTCTTCTTGTCCCCTGGGGGCGCCTGGTTCTTCTTGCCCAGAATCTTCAGCAGGCCCTTGGACATGTAGTAGGGGCGGTCCAGGGAGCCGTCGTTCCGTTCCAGGTCTTCCACTGAACCCCAACACAAATGGTTAGAGTGGACCCCACGGGGGCAGCCCTTTAGACCAGGTGTGCGGCTTGGGATCCAGGCTGGTTTTCTTTGGGGCAGGTTTTGCAACCTGCCCAGCTGGTTCTGCAATCTCAGCTCCTCATGTAAATTACACTATTTCAGAGTGATAACGGGCGATGACAGTGGTGATAAGGGTTAAGGACAAACACACCTTTCAGGTGCTTAGGGCTGAGCCTGGCGCATACCAACCAAGTCCATGTGGAGTCCTTCCTGAGAAAGGCCCTCTCCCTACAGCCACCTGCTGGGGAGTCTCTCAGGGCAAACTTCGACCTCGATTTCCCAGGGAAGACTGCAGAGACAGCGCTCCTTGGGAGAGCCCACCAGTCTGGATGCTCACAACCTCCTTTCCTCCCCAGGCTCCTAGCCGCCGTGAAAGCCCCCACAAGTCCAGTGCCTTGGGGTTAGGAGCAGGGGTAGGGGTGGGGTTCACTCACGGAAACAGAGGAAGAGTGTGTCCACGCACATGCCAAAAACGCTGAAGAAGCCACTGGCGATCACGTAGGCTCCCAGGATGGAGGTCTGGAAGACAGAGGGCCTGCTGCGGCTGTGGGGTTGCTTTGGGAAGGTGGGGGTGGGGGTGAGGCAGAGAGGACAGTCACTCACCATGATGGGAAGCCAGTAATAATTGAGGTGGGGGCTCTCGAAGTCTTTACCTAGCCCCTGGATGCGACCAGAGAAAAAAAAGAAGGACAGGATCCCTGTGGGAGAGTTGAGGTCAGAGCCACACCTCTGAGGGTCCCTCTCCAGCTGCCCAGCACCCTCTGCCCCCACAGCCCTGGGCCCTGGCCTTTACCAACGCCTCCGACCACGAGCAACTTCCCGAAGAACAGCAGCAGGTCGGTGACTTTATCCAGCACCACCACCCTGTACAGAAGGTAGGGCGAGTGAGGCGAGAGGCCTGGGGACCAGCGGAAAGGGGAAAAGGTTCACATTTCCAGATGGCAGTCAGAGCGTGAGCCAGCTGCAGGCCCTGCTGAGAGCACCGTGCCCGTGAAGCCAGCTGTGGGCCCTGCTGGGAGCACCGTGCCCGTGAAGCCAGCCGTGGGTGGGAGACCTGAGGAGGGGCCGCCGGGCATGGGGGCACCCTGACCTGAGGATGTTCCTCATGAGCAGCATAAAGGCGTTTTTGGCTGAGACGCAGAAATTCTTCCCGTAGATGGCGATCTGAGGAGGTGGGAGGGCAGAGTCACCTGTGGCGAGCTCGCCTGGACCAGGTGGGGGGTCGGGGCCAAGGGCCACCGTGGCAAGGCGCGGCTCACCATGATGTACGCGTTGCGGTTCAGGAACTTGATAAACTTCTCCAGGCACCAGAGGCAGCACTTGAAGCAGCACATGATGCAGCGGGCCACAGGGTTCTGGGCTCCTGGGAGCAGGAGGACCCGTCAGGCTACTAGCCTCTGCCAGCCGTCCCCAAGGGTCCAGCTGCTCGGCCTGGCCTTGCCCAGCTCCGACCCCGGGCTCACCCCTCAGCTTGTGGTCAATGTACTCCAAGACGACTCGGGCTATCTGCACGAGACTCAGGATGAGGGCTCCGAACGCCAGAGACCCGGTGTGGTAACTGCGGGGGAGAGTTAGGTGGGCAGGGGCGGCCCTGGGCTGCGGGGTCCCCGGTGCTCACAACCCCCCACCCCTGCCCTGGGCTTACCGGAGTGTACGAATGAAGGCAGAGCTCAGGGGGAAGGTGGGGATGTCCTGGGGCTTGTGGAAGGCCCAGTAGAAGGAGGCAAAGGCCCCGGCCAAGACACACTGGCCCAGGGCCAGCACCCAGTTAAGGGTCCAGAAGAGCCCCAGGACCCCATAGATTTGCAGGTTGAAGAGAGAGCGTTGAACTAGGCCTGTGGCCGAGTAGCCCTGGAAGACGCACATCAGCCCTGGGCACGAGGAGTTCACAGGCTGGGCCTAGGGGTAGGGAGACGCAGCAGCTCACGCCCTGCCTTCAGAGACCCCAGCTTGTTCCCAGCTGGCACAATTGTGCCCCGCAGAGCAGAGCTGGGGGAACTGCGGCTTCCTTGAGCTGGGGAGGCATTCCTTCCAGGAGCTCTGTTTCCTGCCTCAAACTGGATTCAGTCTGCCTATGATGCAATCAGCTTCCTTCAGTCTCCGATCGCACAAGAGCTCTCCCGGCTGGGCCAAGCCTTGAGTGTGTGTGAGGGCCTCCGACCGCTCCTGCTTTCTCTCTCCTTCACTGCACATCCCCCTCCTAGAGCAGCCTCCACTACTTCAGCCAGAACACTTGCCAGCAAATGGAACAGACTGGATTTTTGATGATAATAAAGAATAATTGTTACATTTTCTTTTGAGAGGTTTTTGCTATAGGGTGCATGCACTCACCAGAAAGACAGAGACAGAGAGACAGAAAGCGAGAAATCACCCCCACCCCTGCCCTGGGAGGGACAGCCACCTCATAATCCCTTCTCCTCCATTCTCCTCTCATGATCTTGGGTACGCATGCACAGGTGCCTGGCGTGAATTTAAGCCACTGGGTACAGGACTCGAACTGCGGTCGACCACATGGGAGTCCAGCTACATAGCCATTATGCCATCTGCTGGTCCCAAGAATTATTTTAATTTTGTTGGGTGTGACACAGCTTAGTGTTTTTGCTTTTTATTTATTTATGTATTTATTTATTTAAATTTGCCAGAGGGCTTGTCCTCTAAAGAGGGAGAGGGAAAGGGAGAAAGCACCCCCACAACGGGGGGGGGGGTCATGCTGCAATCCTTTCTCTTCTGCTTTTCCATCCTGCTCAGATTGGGGTCACACCTGTGTACTCAGCATGTTCTCCAAGCTTTCAGGACCGGATTCAACGTGCACAGCTGGTCATGTGGGAGTTGGCTCCCTTAACCACCAGTCCACAGGGCTGGCCAGGTTTAACTTTGTATTTATTTTTATAGAAAAAAAAACTGGTTGGGGGGACCAGCAGATGGCGTAATGCTTATGTCGCTGGACTCCCACATAGTCAACTGCAGTTCAAGTCCCGGACCCGGTGGCTTAAACTCACACTGGGCCCATGTGCATGCATGCCCATGATCCCTAGAGGAGAATGAAGAAGGAATTGCAGCATGGCCATCCTCCCTGGGCGGTGATTTCTCACTTTCTGTCTCTCTCTCTCTCTCTGTGTCTCCAACAAGTGCATGTGCCCATAGCAAAAATCTCTTTCAAAGGGACCAGCAGATGGCTTAGTGGTTATGTCACTGGACTCCCACGTAGTCGACTATGGTTTGAGTCCTGGACCTAGTGGCTTAAAACTCACACTGGGTGCATGTGCGTGCGTGTGTGCTCAAAATCCTGAGAGGAAGACGGGAGGAGAAGTGGTGGTGTGGTCATCCTCCCTAGGGGATGATGTTTTATTTTCTGTCTCTCTGGTGAGCATATGGGCCCTCTCTTTTTGAAAAAAAAAAAAACTCTCAAAAAATATATAAATAAACACAAAAAACTGGCTGAGGGGCCAGCAGGTGGTGTGGGGGCTAAGACCCTGGGTTCCCATATGGTCAACCACATTCAAGTGTGAGAAAATGAGCAACTTGCAAATTAATTTAATTGCAAATTTTAAAATAATAATAAATAAAATTAAATAGTTTTTAAAAATTGGCTATGAAGCAT